TATTTTAGAGTTAACAAAATAACTGGGTAAGCTTGGCTCTCTGAGACTACTTTGTTCTGGGCATTGCTTGACATCCATGGTTTGGTAGCTTGGAATGTAGGCAATAATACATCCTGAAACTGTTCCAACCAAATCATGTCTCTCTACTCTATACTATGCTGAGACATGAAGTTGCCAGGGTTAATGTCAGGATGTCTTCTGGCAACAGTGGGGGTTTCCATCCCCTGGGATCCAGTAAATCTGGTCTAATGGTTCTAAGAAATGGTATGTAGGAGAAGAAATGAGGTCACAAATCGTCAGACACGATTGAGCGACTGAACAACAACAGTCTACATTAGAAATGCTACACTTAAATAAAAATCTATGGTATTAACTTAGTAGGCATCAAAGACTTAAATTTGCACGTGGACAAAGCAATAATCTTTATTGCACTGTAGGAAAATATTTGATCAAAACTTTAGTAAACAGCGCCATAGTGCTCTGGTCTTGATGTTGGTTGCTTCTATTCTAGTTTTGGAAATCGTAGAAATAGCTTGTACACAGAAATGAAAGGAATATGTTTGCTCAGGGTGATCTCTTTTCTACAATCTGAGTAAGGTTTGTTGTTTTAAAACCAACTATATCGCAAAAAGAAACCATGATCAAGAGGTGCTCATAGTGGTGTCATTAACATCAGAGTTCCCCAAGCATTTTTTTAAACACCTCCACATAGAGTCCAATGCCAAGCATCAGGGCCAACACAGCAGAGATCTGAATAGGAGTGTTATTTGCCTCAGATGGCCTCAGAAGAGCTACCAGTCAGCTGGTGGTGGAGGTGGCCATAATACCGAGTCCAGTGAATAAAAGACCAGGGTCTTGAGGCTTTATATATGTACACACTTGCTATGGTTGCCTATTTGCACAACTGCCCAGAAGCCAAGAAGCTGGTCTATTAATTTGGGGGAATTTATTGCCACAGAGATAAAAAGTCTAATCTGAAATATTCTCTGGTCATTCAGTCCCTAAAGAAACACCACCACAGTTCTAAAGCACCAATTCTTCAGCGCTCAGCTTTCTTCACAGTCCAACTCTCACATCCATACATGACTAATGGAAAAACCATAGCCTTGGCGAGATGGACCTGTGTCGGCAAAGTAATGTCTCTGCTTTTGAATATGCTGTCTCGATTGGTCATAACTTTCCTTTAAAGGAGTAAGTGACTTTAAATTTCATGGCTGCAGTCACTATCTGCAGTGATTTTGGTGTCCCCCAAAATAAAGTCAGCCACTGTTTCCCCATCTATTTGCCATGAAGTGATGGGGCCAGATACCGTGATCTTAGTTTTCTGAATGTTCAGCTTTAAGCCAACTTTTTCACCTCTCCTCTTTCACTTTCATCAAGAGGCTCTTTAGTTCTTCTTCACTTTCTGCCATAAGGGTGGTGTCATCTGCATATCTGAGGTTATTGATATTTCTCCCAGCAATCTTGACTCCAGCTTGTGCTTCCTCAAGCCCAGCATTTCTCATGATCTACTCTGCCCATAAGTTAAATAAGCAGGGTGACAATATACCGCCTTGAGGTACTCCTTTTCCTATTTGCAACCAGACTGTTGCTCCATGTCAAGTTCTGACTGTTGCTTCCTGACCTGCATATAGGTTTCTCAAGAGGCAGGTCAAGTGGTCTGGTATTCCCACCTCTTTCAGAATTTTCCACAGTTTATTGTGATCCACAGAGTCAAAGGCTTTGGCACACCAATAAAGCAGAAATAGATGTTTTTCTGGAACTCTCTTGCTTTTTCAGTGATCCAGCAGATATTGGCAATCTGATCTCTGGTTCCTCTGCCTTTTCTAAAACCAGCTTGAACATCTGGAAGTTCACGGTTCACGTATTGCTGAAGCCTGGCTTGGAGAGTTTTGAGCATTAGTTTACTAGTGTGTGAGATGAGTGCAGTTGTGCACTAGTTTGAGCATTCTTTGGCATTTCCTCTCTTTGGGATTGGAATGAAAACTGGCTGTTTCCAGTCCTGTGGTCACTGCTGAGTTTTGCCAATGTGCTGGCATATTGAGTGCAGCACTTTCACAGCATCATTTTTAGGATTGGAAATAGTTCAACTGGAATTCCATCACCTCCACTAGCTTTGTTTGTAGTGATGCTTCCTCCTAAGGCCCACTTGACTTCACATTCCAGGATATCTGGCACTAGGTGAGTGATCACACCACCTTGATTAACGTGGTTGTGAAGATCTTTTTTGTATAGTTCTTCTGTGTATTCTTGCCACCTCTTCTTAATATCTTCTGCTTCTGTCAGGTCCATACCATTTCTGTCCTTTATTGAGCCTATCTTTGCATGAAATGTTCCCTTGGTATCTCTAATTTTCTTGAAGAAATCTCTAGTCTTTCCCATTCTGTTGTTTTCCTCTATTTCTTTGCATTGATCACTGAGAAAGGCTTTCTTAACTCTCCTTGCTATTCTTTGGAACTCTGCATTCAAATGGGCATATCTTTCCTTTTATCCTTTGCTTTTTGCTTCTCTTCTATTTACAGCTATTTGTAAGGCCTCCTCAGACAGCCATTTTGCTTTTTTGTATTTCTTATTCCTGGGGATGGCCTTGATCCCTATCTCTTGTACCGTTTCACGAACTTCTGTCCATAGTTCATCAGGGGCTCTGTCTATCAGGTCTAGTCCCTTAAATCTATTTCTCACTTTCACTGTCTAATCATAAGGGGTTTGATTTAGGTCATACCTGAATGGTTTAGTGGTTTTCCCCACTTTCTTCAATTTAAGTCTGAATTTCACAATAGGGAGTTCAAGATCTGAGCCACAGTCAGTTCCTGGTCTTGTTTTTGATGACTGTATAGAGCTTCTCCATCTTTGGCTGCAAAGAAGATAATCAATCTGATTTTGGTGTTGGCCAACTGGTGATGTCCATGTGTAGAGTCTTCTCTTGTGTTGTCGGAAGAGGGTGTTTGCTATGACCAGTGCGTTCTCTTGGCAGAACGCTATTAGCCTTTGCCCTGCTTCATTCCATACTCCAAGGCCAAATTTGCCTGTTACTCCAGCTGTTTCCTGACTTCCTACTTTTGCATTCCAGTCCCCTATGATGAAAAGGATATCTTTTTTGGACATTAGTTTTAAGCGGTCTTGTAGGTCTTCATAGACCTTCAGCTTGTTTAGCGTTACTGATCCGGGCATAGTCATGGATTACCATGATACTGGATGATTTGCCTTGGAAATGTACAGAGATCATTCTGTAGTTTTTGAGATTGTACCTAAGTACTGCACTTTGGACTCTACTGTTGACTATGATGGCTACTCCGTTTCTTCTAAGGGATTCCTGCCCACAGTAGTAGATAAAATGGTCATCTGAGTTAAATTCACCCATTCCAGTTCATTTTAGTTCACTGATTCCTAGAATGATGGCGTTCACTCTTGCCACCTCCTGTTTGCCCACTTCCAATTTACCTTGATTCATGGACCTAACATTCCAGTTTCCTATGCAATATTGCTCTTTACAGCATTGGACCTTGCTTCTCTCACTGGTCACATTCACAACCAGGTGTTGTTTTCGTTTTGGCTCCATCCCTTCATTCTTTCTTAAGTTATTTCTCTACTGAACACTGAGGTGATTGGCTTACAACAATTCATTAAGTTCTACCTCTGTTGAAGGTGTTATTCTATACATTGAGTATTCACCAAATAAAAAAATAGATAAAAAATATTTATATGAAGAAACTTACATATAAATATGGAACATATAGATACATACAGAGTTTATATATAAAACAGCAGGTGAAACTAATACTAAATGTATACAACCAAACAGCACTCTGGGGTCCAGGATGACATCCAGGTGCAGGTCTTCAGGGATGCAGAGCAGAGCCTGCAACACCAGCACAGGTGAGGAGTCCCCGGGAGGTGCACAGTCAGACAGCAGAGGGCGCCCTGGGGAAGGAGTGCAGGACCCAGAGGACTTCCCAGGATCTAGACTTGGCTTTGGGGCTCAGATCTACACAGCACAGGGCCTGTTTGCTGCTCTTTGCTAAGGGCATTGTCTGTTAGTGGGAAGTGTCTAGAAACGTCCCACAGAAGCAAGTACACCTGTGCATCTGGCTGGCAACCCTCAACTGATGGGTTCCCTGGACAGTGAGACTCAGGCAGAAGAACAGGGGACTCTGGGATCCAGGACTAAAAGCTTGCCCCCTCCCCCCTTTTCCTCTAGGCCCTGGGAAGAGCAGGAGGCCAGATGACACAGTGGGTAGGAGAACATGCTTACCCATCCTACATTCAGTACAACTGCTTCTGAGACCTCAACAATGGAAATGGACAGATACCTGGAGTTTCAATATTCCCTAATAATTGCTTCTAACCTACAAACGCTCCTGAGATTTATGATTTTAAACTGCTATTATGTTGTTGTAATTTTAAAAAAGGACATTTTAATTGTGTAGCATATGATAACATTGAAATCTGAGAGAACACACTGCTTTTTAAACTGTAATATATCAAAATATGTTATTAATGACCGAACGGGAAAAAAATAAAAAATAAAAAGAACATGAGTAACTTGAATCCTGCCACTCATCCCAAGTGTGCTGCTCATTTGCTGCAGTCATGTCTGACTCTGTGCAACCCTATGGATGATAGCCCACCAGGGTCCAAAGTCGCTGGGATTCTCCAGGCAAGAATACTGGAGTGGGTTGCCGTTCACTTCTCCAGGGGATCTTCCTTACCCAGGGATCGAAGCTGAGTCTCTTGTGTCTCTTGCCTTGGCAGGCAGGTTCTTCACCACTAGCAGCACCCTCCCAAGTTGCACATGGCACTAAATTGCATTCTGGTATTCTTTAGTTGGAGTTGTACACATACAGAGAAGAATCTGCAGAACCTCCAACTTCAGCTTGAGGGATGGTGCCCTGAGGTGACCCAGGACCCTGGGGTTCCAGAACCTGAGGGACCCCAGACTCGGGCACCCCTCAGGCTGGCTGGGACCCTCAAGACCAGGGAGCACCCACAGGGGTGTGGAGATGCCAGGGGACCCCCTGCCTGCACAAGCTCTGGGAGCCTGTGTCTCCTTCACTCTGTTCCCAGGAGCCCAGCACTGGGGAGGGAGGGGCCACCCCAATCTCTCTGCAGCTGGTGATGAACCAGGGGTGCCCCCTGCTGCCCTTATGGGGTCTGGGGGGCAGAGCTGCATCTCCCCTGCAGAGGGAGGTGAGGAAGCCCCCGGCGGGGACCTTCCAGGAGAACACGCTGGGGCAGCCGCTCCTGGACTCCTGCGCACGGCGGCCCTCAGTGCACCCGGCCTCCGGAGCAGCCAGCCCAGCAACCTCGGGGGCGCCTGTGCACGGGACCTGTGCCCGGGGAGACGTGCTCAGGGCATCCTCCACTTATCTGTGTGGATCATTACCACCTCTTGTCTGTACTATTTTGGTCACATTCAATAGGAGATCCCAGGGGTTTTGCTGGTGATTCTGAAGCACCAGCAAGTGAGTTCAGGACATGATGCGGACATGTGCCCTCTTTGGCCTCACCTTTTCATCCCATGCCCTTCATTCACACTTGCTCTTCCAGGTCTTCATCATCACCAAAGACATCCCACAAAGCATCCCTCAAAAAGATGAGCAGAGAGTTTTCTGATATCTGGAAGGAAGAGATCAGTCAGGCAGCTCCAATCCCTCTCAGGGCAAGAAAGCAACCATATGGGTTAGCCCAGGGCAGTGCAGACTTCATGGGGCCTGTTGAGATGTGTGGGTCCAGACTTACTGATTCCAGCCTCAACTCCTGCTCAGGCCACTCATGGTGACAAAGCCAGGTTCAAGGGTGCAGACATGAGGTCAGGAGCGAGGACAATGCTAAGAAAGTGGAGGAAGAGAGCTGCGGACAGATTTCATAGATTTTATATAAGGTCCCAGGAACCCAACTGCCTATAAGAGAACTGGTCCTCCTGAATGGTAATCATTAAAAGATGCAAAGAGTAGATGGGAAAGGGTTACAAGGAAGAATCTATGGACCAGAAAAAGAGAAAAAAAATTAACAGATATGAAAGAATAAATAAATGGTCACTCATTAATACAGGCCAGAACCTGGTGGGCTGGAATCGATGAAAAGAGAGAGAGAGAGAGAGAGCAGTATCTCTCGGGTTACATGGAATACCAACGTTCACAGGACTTGTACCACTCATGAAAGCACAGGGCATCCTCTCAAGGAGGTCTTGAAAGCCCGGACAAGAAAGTGAGCTCGGTAGGTTTCCACGCTCTGCCGAGAATGAAGACAGAAAGAAGGCCACAGGGGACCCAGGTCTTGAGTGGAGCAAGGGTATTTTATTAGTAGAAATACAGGCTTATATATCTTTAGTAAAATGTTTACTTAGCCATTACAAAGAATGAAATTCCATCAGTTACAACAAAATGGATAATCTAATACATTTAAGTCCGCTGACGTTGAAAAGAGTCACTGAAGGGAGTTACTGGAAGGAATCCAAGCAGGTACCCCTTCCCGTGATCTCAGTGATGAGAACTGTGTGCAGCTCCACTCATTCCCCTAATAGGAACTGATAAGGAACAGAGAATCCTTGAGAAATGGCACACAAAGGAAAAAAAATGCAACTTACTGGATTCTGTAAAGTTGAACGTCCCCTGACAGTAAATGACTTCCATATTCTTGCTCTTCTGCTCCAATTCTTCATTATCTTCCATTCAGGTTTCTGGTGTTGCCAGGCAGAACTCCTGTGGAATGGCTGTGGGAAAGCAAAGGGGAGATTTAGAGTCAGGATGTGACCAGGGGACTGTGGTGCCCTTGTCTCCAGGGAACTCCCAGGGCCTTGGTGTTTCACCTCTTCGGTGAAAAAGTGGACCTTTGACCTCCAACATCCTGTTGCCACCCTCAACTTGCCTATGTGTGACCAAGAATGAGGCTGTGCCAATCTGTTCCTCCTCCAGGTGGTCACTGTCTCCATGCATCTCTGCCCACAGCCTTCCTTGCCTCCTTCTCCTGCTGCTTCTTCTCTAATTGCTTCCTTATTTCTCTCCTCTAGTCACTGTTACTTTACTTCCTCCTTCAACCTCTAGCAACCCTAGAGTTTGCAATGTGGACACATTAGAAGGAGGAGCATCGGTGTATGGCCACTGTCTCCAATCAGTCCATTACTCAATTAACCAATACATTTCTCCAAGGGAGGAGCTGGCATGGACTTGAGAGTGTGTTGAGCCCTGGGGGAGGGAAGGACAAAAATTCCACATAACAGGACTCTCCCGTTGCCTGGGGTGACCTGAGTTACCTGGGAGATGCTTAATGCTCACAGCAACACCTCAAGTTTCACAGACCCTTAGAAAGGATAGAGGCAAACACTTCCAATTTCATTTAGCCAGAATAATGTGACAAGGGTCCTCCATAAACATGTGGTAGCTGCCGGGTTTGCACTGAGACTTGGAAAATTGGGAGGGATGAGACTTGGGAAGGTGTAAGGAAAGGAGAGAGGATGGGGCAGGCCTGGGTTGGGGAGAAGGGGCAAGACTGTCTGGATGCAGCAGTGGGTTCTGAGAGTAGCAGTGACCCCAGGACCTGCTGCCCTGGGAATGCCCAATCCTAGGAGACCAGGTCAGCAGGGCTGTGAAAGCAAGTGTGTGAGGAAGCCCCGTGGGCCCTTCACAGACTCTAGAATCTGCAGATGTGGAGGGTCTCCAGGAGCAGCAGGACATGGACCTCTCACCCGGAAGCGCCTTCAGCACATCAGCCTTGGCTGCTGCAGAGGCTGTGAAGAGCCCCAGGAGACCGGGCCCGGGCAGGGACCCCAGAGCCTGTGTGCTGTGACTCATCCACCCCCGGCAGCGCCCTTTACACGAGGAATTAACAGTGAGGACAAACATGAGGGGAAGTCACAAGTCCTGAAAGTGCAGGAGGAGAGAGTTCACATCGCACCCACCACCTCACAGGCACTGCAAGGACGTGGTCTCCAGTGTCAACTGACAATGAGAGTTTTGTGCCCACTAGGATATGGTCCTCATAGTTCAACATGCAACAGAAAACAGCCTGCAGTGCACAATACCCGAGATGTGCTGACCAGAGACCAGGTTTCCATATTAGTAAAAAAGCAGAAACGAGCAGCTCTTATAGGAAAAATGATTTTTGAAGAGTAAAGCAACAAAAGCTGATTAGAAATAGAGCACAATGCAAGTCCAGGACACAATTTCTCTATCATATCATTTCATATGTAAAGAATAAGTCAGAATTCTATACACATTTCCTTCTTCTTAATTTCAGGTTCACTTTTCTTAGCCACCAAACAGAGAGTTTAACTCTGGGGTTAACAGAGGGTTTAACTTCCAGAACCCTCTCCCATCAGATCCCAATGGAATCTTGTTAGCTACCTGTCTCCCCTTTCTCATCACTGCACCAAATGCCCTCCACAGTACACTCCATGAGCAAAAAGGTGGTTAGAATGAGCAACCCACGCACATATCCTCCAGTTGAGGCCTGCTGGATCTCACGGCATCACCTTGACCTTTTTCCCAAGGTCCTGAAGAGACACCCCACTGTGGATAGCAGATGGCAGTCATCTGTGCTCTGTGCAGTCACAGTCATTCAGTAAGTCACTGATATCAGTTGCAAACCTAAAGATAGAGATGCTGAAAAAGTCAATTCTCAACCTCTCACTTCTACATGTCCACTAGAGCTCTCACTTTCATGCTAACCAACCTGAAATCACAAGTGTTTTGACACATGTATAACATGCCTTTAAGTAAATTATAGCAGTCACAACTCGCTAGTGCCTACCAACTATAATACACAAAAGCCACTATATATGTTTATATATGTGTGCGGATAACTCATGCAGTCGATTTCAGCACTTTGTGAGCCCAGGGACTAGCCTGCCAGGGCCATCTGTCATGGAATTCTCCAGGCAAGAGTACTGGAGTGGTTAGTCACTTCCTTCTTCAGGGGATCCTCCTGACTCAGGGTTCTAACCCAGGTCTTCTGGATTGCAGGTGAATTCTTTATTGTCTGAGTCACCAGGAAAGACTGAATGAATCTTCAGATCATCACCACGAGTCCTGCCGATTCTGACAGATGACGGCAGAACAGGAACTTTGGTACAAGTGAAGGTGTTTCCCAGGTGGCTTAGTGGTAAAGAATTTGCCTGCCAATGCAGGAGACGTGGGTTCAATCTCTGGGTTGGGAAGATACTTTGGAGGAGGAAATGACAATCCAGTTCAATATTCTTGCCTGGAAAATAGCATGGACAGAGGAGCCTGGTGGGATATAGTCCATGGGGTCACAAACAGTGGGGTCATAACTAAGTGACTGAGTATGCATGGATATATACAGGGTGTTAACACCCCTCTCTTGTTATTTCCTTTGTGTTTTCTGGCCATTTCAAGATGACTGTTTGCTGTTAAATTAACAAAGAAAAGACCTCTGACGCATGAGAGCATTTAGCCTGAGGGGCTAAGAGAGATGTGGCCCTTTTCTGGTTTCCATGGTAATCAATGGGCCAATCTGCTGTTCATTCCCACTGTAACTGGTAGACTCCTTATCCCCTCAGAGTAAAGAAAACTATAGCTGCTGTCTTCTGCCTGTCCCCTGCTATCCACAGTGGGTATCTCTCTGAGAGGGTAACAGGCAGAAAGGCCAGGGGTCTCCAAACAGAGGAAATAGGCTTCAAGTGTCAGACATTTTTATCTCTCTCTTAAGCGGCAGGAATGATGCTTTTTTTTTTCCCCCCTTTTCTATACAAATTTAAAAGGAGATTTCTCTTAAAATACTGTGTTGCCATAATGACACCTGGTTCCACCTGAAGTTAACTATTCTCAAACCTTGAGTTAACCAATGCACTCTTCTTATGGAAATGTTTGTCTTAAGCTATGTTAATGTGCTATGCCTTTACCCCAAACTCTGTCTTGAAGTCCATTCTGCCTAATGGTTCAGAACCTACTTGACAAACCATTATGCTATATTCAGACATTGTTCCCCTAATCTATGTAAACGAAACTATTTGTATGGTAATCTGCCTGTCTACAGGATTCAAGTCAATCATTTTATGGCCTGGGATGACTCTTCCGGTGCCAAGATTATCCCAAAATACATCTTATGGATGAGGGGCCTGGTGCCATTCTGAATTTTAAGACATTCCTTTCTTTCTTTTCTTTTCTTTTCTTTTTTTTTTTTTTTAAGAGGCTTTTCAGGGCAAAATTTAATAGTACGAAGAGGTTTACAAAAATAGATTGATACTATTTTGGGAAATAATACTGTAATGTTTTCTCAATTCAGTTTTGATAAATTGTACCTGAGTATACAAAAATTATTTCAAATTCAAACTTGACTATATAAAAAAGGGAGAGATGAAATGAATTCAGCTAGATGACAGATCTGGCAAAATATAAGAATGAAAACAATTCTGCCTAGGGCACTTATTTCATGTCCAGATGTAAACACCACTTTCAGTTGA